ATCAAAGGGAAAGTGAGAGAGGACGCCAATAAATTAAAGGCAATCACAATTGCTAGCGCATATCAGACGCGATATATGGGGCATTTCACTATATAGAATGGGGAGATATAGCTGAAGATGTCAACCGCTGGGCCTGGTCGGTGTAATTGGCTTTGGGGCTTCTTGGGGCTGTCGATGCACGAAAAATCGCAACACAGTGTGCACAATTCAAATTAATTGCCGACAATTGTGACTTATTTAAGAAGAAGGCGCCATTTAATGCCCCATCTGAGTGGTGGGAGTGCTCCACTGCAGCTGCGGCAGTTGACTTAAGCGGCACGATCGCTCTCCCAGACCAATTTGTGGTGTTATGTAATTGAAATCGATGCCCAGGCAATGCAAATGCCTTCAGTCATTTGCGTTTGGCGCGAAACTGGGCCTTCAATAGGAGGAACACGAGTTAAGCACCTTAATAAGCACCAGCATAATTTCATTTTTGAAAGAAATTTAAAAGAAGGTATTAGATATGCATAGTTATCTTACTTGATTTTATCACATGTAGTTTTATTGAGTGGAAATGCACGCTTCTAAAATGGGGGGCATAAGAGTGGCAGTGGAAATGGCCCTTTATCCAATCTGTAACGGACGCCTATCGATAGGCGCGGGTGTAAATTCAAATTTCTCACTTTGAGATTTATGAATGAACAAGTTGATTGCGTTGTGCGATAATAATTAATTAATTACTGTATTGTGGCTGCACTTGACACTCTCCTTCGCTTATCGTTTTTGGTGTTGCTGCCTGTGCGGCGACTTAATTGTTTGTAATTAAATAAAATTGTACAAGGTCGATTACAAAAAGAGAGTGTCGTCGTCGCGGACTGGTAAATCCATCCATGGTAACCAATTTGTTTTAATATAAAATGCCGGCCGGCAATTCCATTTCGCATCGCATATAGTACGTGCTCGGCGTCTGAAAATTGATTCCTGCTCATTATTTCATTAAAAGCGTTCTGCCAATTGGCGGAACCCCAAGAATCGAAATCGCCCAGCCTATCAAATTGTCTCCCGCGCTCCGTGATTTTCGCTTGCAGTTCGATTTGATTTCATGAATGGAATTGTATCAATTGATTGTTTTGGTCTTGTTATCGCTGCCTTTCGATCGTCGATAATTAAGTCGGGGGTGTGTTCCTCCATTTCCCCCACAAAGCGGCTAAATAGGTTAGAATTATTGGTGCTGTGCTGCTCTGCATTGCCCGGTTTAATGAACAAATCAAATTGTCTAATAGTAATCCAATTTACTCGATTCGAGCTGCTGCCAAGCACTTCAATTGGCGAAACCAGTGCAAATCGATGTGGAAACTTAAGGAAAATGTTAGCTCAGGGAATTGACTAAGAACCATCTACACACATGCACATATTTAAATTCTGAATAAAATAATATGTTTTTCTGAGAAAAACCTAATTTTATTTGGGAGAAAGTTTTGAATCCAAAATTATATATATATATTTGCTCAAATGTTTGGTACCATTTATCTAGTAACACAGAAAGTAGGTTTATTTAGAATGACTTATAAATATATAGATAGTATATACATTTGGCAGTCCCAAACAAAGATTACTATACTAAAGATATCTAAGAACTTGTGATGTTTGAATCGAAACAAGCAATTAGCACTGACTTCCGAGATTATTTATACAAATAGGCACATAGATGATAATATGTAGATCAATGATCTTCAGGTGTGAATTATCCAGAGATTGAATGGCATATTCTATCGACACAAATAGGAATTTGTATGAGCTTACGCAAATTCCGAAAGGAATGCATACCGCATACCATGCAAAATTCAACTCTCACATAAATTTGTATATCGTTAAAAAATGAATTCCGAAATGCGTACGCACTGGATTCTGAGCCGGAGTCATGGGAGGATTCCGGAGGGGTTGTCATGGGCGTCGGGAGGGGGTCGTCGTGACATGCGGGCAAGTTTAAATTGATCTTAACGAAGCTTAATTGGTTGCGTCTGTGTGGGCAAGTGCGTGTGAGCATTATGTTTGTTTGCGGCTGTGTAGGCTACACTCGGCGAAATTTCCGGATTGCAAATGCCGTCCATTGGGTTGATTTCCAGCAAAACCTCTAATCCTTCGCTCAGTGTACAGTGGACATCCATTTGCCCTGTGACGCTATTTTGGAATCACAAAAACAGAACCCAAGCCCATGGGCATAGTTGAATATCTTTTTGCTGTGGGAGGAGACATTCAAATTACGCGGCGATATTTTTAGGGTTCTAAAAAATATATACACGTAAGTATATAAGGTTTTAAAAGCTAATGCTTTTTGCCAATATTTGTGTTTTTGATTTTTTAAATGACTGCTAAGCAATGTCTTCAAAAAGACGGTCCGCAATCCAAGTTTACAATTCGTTTATTTCAGATATCAACTGGTTTCATTTTACACCACACTCTGGGCGCAGATCTACAAAATCTGTGGACACGCCGACTCAAGACGAATGATTTGCTAGGGGTAGTATGGTATGCCAATTCACAATAGGCGCTAATAAAGTACACGATTTTGGGGGCGGATGGGATTTGTAGGGTCGCTTAGGCGTTGGCGAAGTCAATGCCCTTCTGGATGTTCTTCTTCAGCTCGGGAATGGCAGCCTCCAGCAGCTTCTTCTCGTAGTCGTTGAGCTTGGGCAGGCCGAGGTTCTCCTGGACGCCGTTCTTGCCCAGCACCAGGGGTGTGGAGAAGAAGGTGGCCTCCGTGACGGTGGACTGCACGTAGGAGCATTCGATCACGTTCTTCTCGCCGTTAAGTCCCTTCAGCAGGGAGCCTGCGAAACGGGCGCCAGCGTAGGCCATCGACAGAGTGGCGGAACCGGCTCCGGCCTTGGCCTTAACGACCTCGGTACCGGCCTCCTGGATGCGCACGGTCAGCTTCTCGATGGTGTCCTGGTTGCCCTTGAACAGAGGCTGGCTCTGGGAGAGCACGGGCAGGATGGTCACGCCGGAGTGGCCGCCGATCACGGGGATCTGCACGGTCTGGGGATCCACACCCAGGGCATGGCCGATGAAGGCGCGGGCACGCACCACATCCAAGGTGGAGACTCCGAACAGGCGCTTGGGATCGTAGACACCAGCCTGAAAGATGGGACGGCATAGGGATCAGCACCTCTAGTAAACTATAATGTAGGTAATGATACCTTCTTCAGGATCTCGGCAGCGATGGGCACGCAGGTGTTCACCGGGTTGGTGATGATGGCCACCAGGGCCTTGGGGCAGTTCTTGGCAATGGAGTTGGAGATGTCCTTGATGATGCCGGCGTTCACGTTGAACAGATCATCGCGGGTCATGCCGGGCTTGCGGGGCACTCCAGCGGGGATGACCACCACATCGGATCCTGCAAAAGGTAGGCACAAGCATGCATCACTGATTAGTTTGGTGGTACACACTTTGAGCTTTGATCTTTTATGGGTTCAATCCCAGTGGCTTCTGCACTGATAAGTAGCCGCTCCTGATTACGTCGTTGTTAATACCAATAACCATTCTACAGCTATCAGGGTATATATTCTCTGTTGCTTATCTTATCAGAGCATAACATTTTGTTAATGCAAATCACATGAAAGAGCTCTGCATATATTTATACTGATGGTAAAAAAAATCTTTATTCAAATTAACGGAGGTTTTTAAGTATCCAATCTGCTTTCTGTTTTGAACATTTACATATTTATTTTTTAGGATGGATACATTTGTATTGAAAGCATAAAAATAAAATTTTACATAACTTGATTCATATTCAATATTTAGTTTTATTATTTTTAGCACATATGTATGTGTAAATCTGAATTGATCTATATTGTCTTTAAAAAAGTCCACAAACCATAAGAAACATAGCTAAATAAATTCTTTTACTGGCAACAAAACCGCATACGTAGTATTCGTTCATGTTTAAGTTAATTTAAAAAACTGCAAATATCCAACAAAGCCTAGTGATAAGTACTTAAACGAAGAGTGACTTTGGAACAGGGCAGCAAAACCATTGAAGCCAAGCACCTCAAGTACAGCATATCATATCATTAGAGATAGTAGTGGATTCGACCCCTCCCCCCTGCCGAACCACCACCACCAGCACCCTAAGCAAATTTTCCACTGGTATCCGCTGGTCACATAACCTCACTCGCGGCCCCTGCCCTCTACTCACCCTTCAGGGAGTCGCCCAGCTGGTCGGCACCGATGAATCCGGCGGTCTTGCTCTTGGTGTCGATGTGCGACAGATCGGCGGCCACACCGGGCGTATGGACAATGTCGTACAGGGCCAAGTCGCTGACCAGGGGATTCTGCTTGAGGAGCAGCGACAGCGGCTGGCCGATTCCTCCAGCGGCACCGCAAACGGTCACCTTGTAGTTGTTCTAGATCGGAAATGCAAAGATATAGTCGCGATGAGTCTCGATGTTATGTCAGGCTGTATAGTTATGGCTTGCGGATGCAATGGATCAGCCGCCTCTGTTACGTAAACAGTTGCAGTGGAAGGGGCACGATTCTACCCGGGATTTTGATTTTGGAATGTAACAATGCTCACCTGCTGGCCAACCGAGAAGGTGCGCACTCCCTGCAGGGCCAATTGCTTCGTCACTTGCTTCAGCATATTTGCAATGGTTTTGGTTACAAAATGTATTGGTTAAAACAATTCAACGAGAGCAGTTCTGCCAGCAAAATCCCACGGGCCAATGAAACAGATTTGCGAATCCCATGTTGTTGTTGTTGTTGCCGTGGGGGGCGGGGGAGTACAGGGTTGCTATCGCTCAAGAGCTTTCACGAGGAACAAAAGCTTTTGGTTGATTCGTGATTTGGGGGGACATTTCATGTGTATGAGAGCTAGCCATTTGTTGGTTATATGCTTGCAATGCTTCGGAAATGCATAATTTTTCATGCAACAATTTAAATTGCAGTTGCAGTGAAGATTCGAACATTTCAATTTGCACTTATCGATACAAATCGAATGGAGCTGCCAACTTAACTGCAATCCCTGTCCAATTGAGCCGCACAATCGTATCGAGCTATCGTTATCCGATATCAACCAGATTTATTTATTTTGGTTTGCCCCTATAAATGTTTGTTTTATGCAGAAAAAACGGCGCTACTGAGGATGTAATCATAAAGATGCTTTCTAATAATAATTAAAGTATTTAATGCAAGCTGTCAAGTATGCATTTCAAGCTCTAAGTGATCAGTTATGGGGGTATAAGTGAACTCCTATTTATTGTTTTTGTTTATAAACTAACAAATTCGTGAAGTACTGGCGCAAGACTAAAGTCTCAAGTAGTCAACAATTCAAACAGTTTAAGGTAATCGTCTACTGTTGTTTGAATACTCCGCATGCCTATGAATACATCCAATACTATTTAGCTAACTCCGTGCGGAAACCACAAAGATGTCATCTCTGCGCTTGACCCAACAGCAGCGGGACCATTTAAGCCTGCTCCAAAGACCCGCCAGCTCAGTGGTGGAGCTATGCAAGTCAGCCTTTGATTACCTGATAAATGGGCCCAATCCCGGCCGTTACGAGATGCTGGCCAAGAAATCCTCGGACTTGGGCAGTCCCGAGGCAGTGCAGCAGGCTGTGGAAGCTCTGATATCCCTGCTTATCAGCGTGACCACCCGGCTGGGAGGCAGTTCCGTCGACACAGGGGCGATTCTGCGAAAGACATTCCCCGAAATCGGCGACGATGTGCTCGAAGTTCTCGAGCAGTTTGTCACCAGCAAACGAAACTTTGTGGAGGGCTCAATCAAGTCGGCCAACATACGTGCCTATCGGCTGGTCAACCTGGACTGGCGACTGGAGGTCCGTACCGCGTCGCGGAGTCTGCTGGATCAGTGTCAAGTTGTGGTGACCATGAAGCTATACCTGCACACCGAACCGAAGAACGAAAACCGTGAGCTGCTGGCGGTGGACGTCTCGGGGCGCAGCGAACAGGAGCTGAAGGCCATGCAGGAGGACGAACGGCTGCATCGAAAGGATTTGCTGGTGCAGACGGATGTCGGCAGTCTGGTGCACATGATCAAAACACTGGAGGACGCGTTGGCCGAGTCCAAGACACGGCGCATTCGTAATATTGTCGAAGGCATACACTGATACAACTCCAGAACGCATACACTTGTTAACGCTAATTTAATCAGGACCAATTTATTAAAACTAACTTTAACTAGAGAAGGGATTGCCTCCTTGCGAGGCCAGAGCTTCGGCGGCAGCCGCCTTCAGGGCAACCTTCTTCCGCTGCCGGTTCTCCTTCTTCTCCTCAGGTGTCTTACGCAGCGCCTTGACACGACGCGTTTGGATGGAGCCCGTTTGCTGCTTGCCCAGATGGACGCGACCCTTGGTGTTGCCCAAGGCGTCTGTGCTAATGTTCTTCTTCTTGCCTACCTTCAACTGCTTGGGCTGTTTGCGTGACTGCTTGTACAGATCCTCGCTGGCGATCTTGGTGCGACGTATGGAGAAGTCGGCAGAGGGTCCGATCTCCTCGAGCTCAATGCGCGGCGTCCTCTGGCCAGATTTCTTTAGCAGTATTCGGTAGGAACGCATCAGAATGTTCATGTCATCGGTAACCGTGAAACTGAGAACGTGCTCAATGCCCTGAAGACGAATCGAATCCACCTTCTCGCGCTGGAAGGTGTCGATGAACAGGTTGCGAAGGCGCCTCAGTTCCTCGGTCTGTGCCCATTTCGGGCCATTGAACACCAGGCAGGGCTTCACGCAGGCTCCAATTTTCTCGTTCTTAAACTCTGAAATCGCCTGATACCGCTTGATGCCCAGTTCAAACATGTCCAGCACTTCGTTCTCGAAGATCCTGCCCAACACTATGTTGTCAGGTCGCTTCTTTGATGTGGAACCGAACGTGAACAAAGCAGCATCGTTTTTCATGGTCAAGCTGGAATTTTTGGTAGTTTAAAACTAAATAAACGTAAATTAAGGTATGTATGCTTTGTCTAAACTTACAACTCCAGTGAGGAGGGATCGTCAAAGGGGGTAATGTCGTTTTTGCGGTTCAGCACCTTAACCAGCGGCTTCTTCAGCGCCTGCAGATCCTTCATGCACAGCTTCACATTGCCACCGCACTTCCTTCCGTCCAAAAACAACATTGTGCGGGCGGATTCAATCAGTTGCGGCTCCCTGGCCAGCAACACTTTCTTTCCCTTGCGGGTTTTGGGTTTCCTGGAAGCGGAGTTGGTTTGATTTCATTGCTCTTCATTGGCTGCACCTTTATTGCTTACCTGATGCGTAAGAGGGACATAATCAAATGCTTTTTTAATTAAAAACCAAGTCAAATAAACTAAAATTCACGCGCACGTGTAAGTACGCTGCGGGGTTAGAGATGTGAAAACATCCGTTGCCGTATCGATGAAATTGATTTGCCGGCCGTATCGATAGTTGTTTAGCTGCCACAAGATTTAAAATGAATGCATTTTTCTCGCACTCAAAGTCTATTTTGAGTTTAACCATCGAACAATATAATATTAGGAATATAAAAATGCTACATTGTTTTAATTCAGTTCGCCATTTCCCTATGCATATATATTCTGCCATCACTAGCTGCAACAGTTGCCATTCACCCCGAATTACAGTTACGCTTCTTCGTCGATTCTAAATAAATATTCGTGAAATGTTATAATTATGCTGCGCAACGGCCAGAATCAAGCGCAATTGCTGGTCCGGAGCCTTGGGCAGCTGGCGCGAGGAATGGCCAGTTCGAAACGGGTCACCAGTAAGAAGGAGAATCTGAAATCAAAACTGCCAAAGCCCTCCACAGTCGAGATGCCGGTGGAAGAGCCCCTGAATGCCAGCTATTTGTCCAAAACTCTGGGTAAGCTAAGACTTTTAAGCTGGTTTAAGGAGTCACTATTGCGTCTTTATAGGTAGTAACTATCGCGCTTGGGCGGCCGCTCTAGAGAAGCACCCAGAGCTCAAGACGTTGAAGCGCAAGGACTTGCTGAACTCCTACGACACTTTGAAATCACTGGACTACAGTGTGGACGACATCATAGCGAAGCCCATGATCATATATTATGGTGCTACCACTTTGGTCAATCGACACAGTGTTTTGCAGGAGTGCGGCTTCCACAATGTTACTGTCCAAACGCTGGCCAAATATGTTACGGTGGTCAACAAGCCGATAGAAGTCCTGAAGGCACACAGTTACATCCACTTTGATGTGAAGGTGGTGGAGCGTCTGGCGGGATATTTTGCGGACATCAAGTTGCCGGTGGATTTACGGGAGCTGGAAAGCGAGACCCTCACTCTAAAGAGCTTGAGACAATCCCTGCTCAACGCTTACCTGCGTGAACGTCTTCAGATGGACGACAACGATCTACAAAAGCTGTGGCGCGTTTACTCCCGCATCCGCCACAAGAGTTTTCGAGCATTGCAGGACACCATCGAGCTCCTAACCAAGGAGTTTAATTTTCCCGCCGAGCGGCTAAGGAAGAACAGTTTTCTGCTCTATTCGGAAGCAGATAACGTGCGCCGCATCCTGCGAGAAGTACCTACCATTGATTCGCAGGACATACGCGAAATCGGCTTCCGACGACCCAAGATTTTGATGTCCACCTGTGATAGTTTGAAGCAAACCCTGCAGCACGTCCATGCGTTTGGCATCAGCGAGGATGCTGTTCTACGTTGTTTGGAAGTGCTCACCCTTGGACCAGATACGGTTTTGGAGCGCCTAAAGGACCTGCAGGAGATAGAGGAGTTTCAAGTACTGGGCACCAATCCGCGAGTCCTAAGACTGGTACACTACCAGAACAAGGCGCGACTGCGTTTGGATTATCTCAATCAACTTAAGGTGCGGTGCGCTTCCTTGCACATCCTTTCTTGTGGGTCCGAGGCTTTCGCCAAGTAAGAAGCTATGCAATCTTATTGACTGAATAACCAACCAACCTTATTCAAGATTTGCCAGAGATGGCTCGGATCGTACTAAAGGACGGGATATAGTCTTCTACTTGGGTAATGTGTTGGGGAAGGAAGTGCAAGTGCTGCGCAATCTTCTCTCTCGCCATCCCAACTGGTGCCATATACCTCTGCTGCACGTGAAGCAATGTCTGGAGTACTTACTCAGCAAAAAGTTTAAACTTGATGAGATATTTTTGAATATACACTTGCTTCTTTATCCCATGTGAGCAATGTTAGAATTATACAAACGATTTTTCTTTAATACTTTTTCTTTCTTCACAGCAAACGCATTGAAGAAAAAATGCTTCTTTTGCAATCACCCGACGCACAAGAAGATTTACAGCTGCCTGTGGCGAATTTCGATTCGTTAAGCAACAACGAGATCCTAACTCTCATTCTCTACCTAATCGAATCGGAGTTCCACTTTACGGGCGACGGCATCTGGACGGAGCAACATACACATCACGTGGAGAACTTCAATAATCTACTGCCCGACTTTCCAGAAAGTCTCAATAAGGTCTACAAGTACGGCGTAAAGCCTGCAGATAAGATGATTATGCAGCACTTATAGGTGCCTGCAGTAAAATTGTACATAGCTTGTTAATAAAATTGGAAACTATTTTGAAACCTAACATACTACTCTAATTGGTTTCCCGTGTCTTTGGGCATATATGCGAATCGATGATCATTTATTCAGATTCCAGCTTCAAAGCAGCAAAGTTTGCGTCGGTTTCCGTGATCAGCTCATCCTCGTTCACCTTCAAGGGAGCACATCGCGTCCAGAACGCTTTGTCGTTGCTGTCGGGCAGGGACTCCTGGGGGAACGTGTGCAGCGACAAATCGTTGAATACATTGTGGTGCTCGTAGTCGTCTTCCAGCGGCGTCTCTGTACAATGTTCTACTATTCTTGTTATGTGGTCATCCTGGTTTCTCGGCGTCATGGTTAACATTTCGAAGCTATTCGAGATGAGGTAAACGTTGGGCAGTGTCTCCCGCTTCCAATTGGACCACAAGATGTTATGCATCAGAGCATAAGGGCAGTGGGGCAGATAATAGAGCGTGGGCACCGTCGCCTCGTGCTTGCCCGCGCAGTCTTCGCTCATTATACTTCCGCCAAACAGTTGGATCAGTTCCCTTTCGCTGTCTCTGAAGACGGGATCGAAGTACAAGGCCTCGCTGATCTTGTGCTGCCGCTGCAGTCCAATCACAAAGGCAGCCTGATGCAGGGCATGGTAGGTGCGGGAGAAGGGTCCCAGTCCCAGGCAAACGACACGTTCCAAAGGTTTCTTAATGACTTCAAGCTGCTGCTGCAGTGCCTCCATGGCCACCAGAAAGTAGTCGCTCTGACACATCTCAGTACACAAGTTCTCCAGACGCCTAGAAGTGGATTTCGTTTTCAGGGACGGAGCTCTTGAAAAACATAAATATCAAATACTTACGGCTGAAATTTCTCCACATTCACATCCGGGCAGTCGATTAAGTAGTCACTTTCAGATTTATGGCGATCCCGCCGCCTCAAGCACTTACGGGCCATCCATTTCTTACGCGTTACCACCTGAAAATCCTCTCCAGAGTTCGACATTTCGAAACGTAAATAAACACGCTTCTTCTTCTTCTCACCTTGCTTAGTGTGGCCGTTCTTGGTACAGAGGAAGAATATAAGTTGCATTTTCCAACTTAAATGTAAATTTTGTAATTTAAATCTCGATATAGATTTCCATATAGTTTATTATTAATTTGTTTATTTGATGAATATATAGTATGCATGAAGTAAACAGTCTCAACGACAAAGTGCGATTTCTTTTGTGACAGTGTATCAGCTGTTACCACTGCAACTTCTTCACACAGCTGTTTTTCACTTTTGTACGCCATGAACGATCCAAACAAGGCCATTAGTGTGAATCTCTCCTCGCTGGTCAGCCTGAAGGCGGAATTGCTGAGGAAGCAGCATGAGGTGAGGATGGCCAAAGCCAACAAGGCATCCGCCGCCGATTTTCGACCCGCCAAGAGCAGCGGCGACAAGGAGAAGTCCAGTGATCGGGGCTACAAGAAGGTCGGAAGCAGCAACGATGGCGCCAAAGTGTACGAGACTGAGGACCATGCCCAGTTGGAGAAGTCGCGGCGTGTCTTGGAGGCGAAGAGCAAGTTCTACGATCGGATGATTCGCAATGGAGGCAACCTCAACTCCGATGATAACTGCCTGGTGATGTTTAACCGCAAAAAGCAGGAGGCAGACCTGGAGCAGGAGCAGCCCTCGCAGAGGTGTAATTCCCGCCAGCGACTGAGTAGCAGCAGCAGTTCCAGCAATGATGAGCAAGGCCACGACGATGATGATGAGGTGGAGTACGTTGATTGCCTGGGACGCACCAGAAAGTGCTTGCGGAAGGACTTGAAGGAGGCCCAGAAACGCGACAAGCAACTTGCCGAGAGCATGCCGGAGCGCCTGGATCAGACCAAGGCCAACTGGATGATAGATACCAAAGGCAGCCGCGAGCAGAACAGAAACCACAACAGCGACGATGACGATGGTGAGACCTTTATTGGACCACGGCCAACAGAGAGCCTCTTCAGTGAGGCCCTATCCACGATGACCAAGCACGATGAACAGCGCATAAACTGGGAGCGCAAGGAGCAGGAGAATTTCGACAAGCCTGATGTCCACTACCAGGATGTCTTCTTTGACGAAGCGCGCACCCACGGTGTTGGCTACTATGCCTTTTCTACGGACGAAGAGGAGCGCCGGAAGCAGCAGTTGGAACTGGAAAAGGCACGCAAAGCTACGACTGATGCGCAGACACGACAAGATGAATTGCGCGCCAAACGGGACAGTCTCGTGGCAGATCGCGTGCTAGCCGCCAAAAACCGGATTCGAGCACGCAAAGGCTTACCACCCATCAGCAAGGAAGACTACCTGCGGGAGGAACAGCGAATTAAGGACGAATCAGCGGCCGAAACAGCAGAAAGAGAGAGGGAGGAGCAAGAGAAGAAAGCAGCCATCGAGCGGAAAAAAGAAAAGGAGGAGGCGGAACTGGAAGAATTGCGCAAGGAGCACGTACGCGATTGGGACAAGGACAAGCCGGGTGTGGCCAAGCGACGCGACTCAGACAGCCCCGAACCACCGGAGGAGGAGTGGAAGTACAAGGCCGAACGCCTGCCCATGTCCCAGGAGGAGTGGAATGAGAAGCAGCGTGCCCAGCGGCAGGCAGAATTTGCTCCCATGCCAGAGCCGGTTTCCCTCAAGCGCAGCAACTTCAGCAGCATGCCTCCGCCACCGCCTTCGGTGTGGAACAGTGGCCAGGAGCCGGAGTTCCACAACTTTCACAGCACCAGGCAGGAAAAGAAGTTTCAGCGACGGAGCTACAGTGCGTACAACGAAGACGAAGCTGATGAGCAACCGAGCACATCCAGTCGTGGTATGGGTGCTGCTATTCCCCCGCCTGTTGGATTGGATGACAGAGCTCCACCAGCTAAAAAGTCCAAGTCCCAGGCCGACCTGGAGCGCTCCATCGAAGCGGGTCTCAGGTTTCTGCGGGAGAACTGCGACAAGGGCGTGCTGGGAAACAAGGCCACCTGGACCTCCAAGGCGGACTACTAAGTTAAGGAAAGGCATACCTTCATTTATAGTTTATTACTTTGTGTAAAGAATACTTTAGAAAAACACAATACGCCTAGACAAGCTTTCTATTGTCTGGTTTTTGAGTTCAACAAATGTATTGTTAATTTAGCTACGGCTAGATCGAATAGTGCATTTTCACAATTCCTGTCCAATTTAGAGGCCCTGTGCCCAATTGCATTCCGACAAGGTAGGCGCAATTTAAATTTCCCGAGAATACCTATTTGGTAAAGTTCCATCGATTGGTATGTGACAACCGGGATCAACAATTAAACGAAAGCTAAAACAAAAAGCAACTACTACTTACTATTTGGGCATCGTGTTGTTTGCTCATCTAGCAGTAGTGCAAGTGTTAACTCTGACTACACAAAGTCCAACCTGGGACGCAGGGCCAAGGAATTGGCTGCTACAGAAACGTAACATAAAGGTAGCGGTGGTACCCTAAACGTACAAAGTCTGTCTAAGCTAATGGTAATATTTACTATCTTGCATATAACTAAACGTTAAGGAGCACGCTATCTGAGCCGGTATATTATGGGAAATTGGTGTTTGGGACAGACAGCAAGGGTTCCATTTGGATTGCAGGGCGGCCTAGAGCATGTCCCGATCCACCATATCAATGACTATCTCCGACATCTTCTGGCGGCACAGGTCGTTGGGTGGAAAGTTGAGCGTGGGCGCGCCCACATCCTCCTCGAGTTCATCGCTTCGATCCAAGTACATATCCGGGGCATCCTCCGAGGAGCAAGTGCTTATAGGTAGGATATCCAATGCCAGGCCAAGAGCAAAGCGTCCGTATGTCTTCAGCTCCTCGGCAAAACTATGGCGAAAGGCGTTTAATAAATCGATTGATTATATTCCCAGAAAATTCGTAAAATCATTTGCTTACAGGTCCTGTAGCTTCTGTAATGTGTCGCAGTGGTCCGGCAAAGTTGTGCATAGGATTTGCAGCCATCGAAACAGCTCCTCCGTATAGATCTTGAGCAGAGTCTGCAGGTGAGCATCCCGCATTTCCTTGGTGGTGCAGCAGTATAGCAGATTGGCAATGTCCAGGGCGATGGAGCTGTAGCGTATCAGCTGAAAGTCGAGAAGGGCCACCTCCAGCACCCGCTGCAGATCCTCGGGATCATAGTGGTACAGAAAGTTGTTCACCCAACAGTCGCCGTGGCAAATGGCAGATAACGGCGACTCGGCACTGGCCAACTTCACCATACGACCGAAGAAGGAGGAGCTTTCCGCAAATTTGTTCATTGCCAGGACATACTTGGAGTCGGGGGGCAGCACCTCGGACACCATCTGAATGGCGTTCTTGGTAAGGCGCTCGTAGTAGTTTCGATACCAACTCGTATTGGCCGTGCAGAAGATGCCCTCGCTGATCATGCTGCACAGCTTGCTGAACTCCAGCGGTTTCTCGAACTTGTAGGCTAGGCTAAGGCCGTGCAGCTGTGCCACCTGCAGCAGGACGGACTGCGTCTCCTCCAGACTGAGGCCTTTGTGGCGGTCGGACATCTGAAAGCCACGTTCGCGAAGATCCTCTGCCGGAAATACAATTTAATAAATTAGAAAAGGATCCACAGTAAAGGGGAGAGGTAACTTTACCCATTATGAGCAGATCATGCCTGGCTGAATAGCACTTCGGAATGGCATTGAACACGGGTGTGTCCTGGTTCGTTTTGCTGGCCTGGAACTTGAGCAGTTCCGGCATGATGGTGTTGTAGAACTGCACCTCATTGCTGTGGAACAAGCAGGGATTATGAGCCTCTATAGGATGCGCGGAATCGGAATTGGAACACTCACCGGAAGAGCTTGTCGCTCTTGTAGGCCTCCCGGGCGACTAGACTTTCCGGCATCACCTTGCAGATGACGTTCTGTTCCCATTTGAGACTCCTCCGCTTGCCGGTTAGCTTAATGCGATAAAGGGCGGCCGTATAGTTGTCACCCCGGTCGGAGCCCTGGGCCAGCTGGAAAAGTAGGTGGGTGGAAGTGATTTCATAACCGAATGTTAGCTGCCCCCAATAGAGTCCTCACCTCGAAGGCATCGATCTGCACTTCCGGTTCCACGTGCTTGAAGATGTCCTGGAACACCTCGAGCGAAAGGATTTGTTTGCTCTCCACGGCGTTTGCCGCTCCCAGTCCGGTAGTTGTTGTTGCTGCTGTCTCCGTAATACCCATTTTTCAAGGAGTCCTGTGGAGGCTTTTACAGGAAGCCCTACTCTCAATCCCTTGCGGACAATGTGGGTTAATTTTTTGCCAAGCGCGCACGGCTCTATTCAGTTTTCGGTTTCCCTTTACAGTTCATTCATCGATTTTGCGCGAACATGTGTTTCTTTTCGCACTGCTACGTGCCTGTTCTTCTTCTTCTCTCTGCGTGTCCTTCGTGCTTTTCCTCCCCTTCGTGTTTTGGCTGTTTTAACGCGCTTTCGACACGAATTTTGAACTGCCCATACCCAACTGACCCAACTAATGCTAAAGATCTTCATTTATTAAGGGGCATTTTCTACATTTTTTCTTTTGCTGGAAAACTAGTTATTAAAATTCTGACAAGTTGCTTAACTGGTTAGCTTATTGCTTCCCGTTATTCATTTCGTAGCTGCAGCCCTGGGTAACGTCACGCGATACTTCATTACGTTGCGCTATTACGTTTGTTACGTAAAGGTGGCGAATGAATTTAAATGAATTTCCCTTTAATACATTTTGCTAAAAGTTTCAAATTAACGAATGCTCAGTTCATTTACAACCAATTTACAACAGCTTAGCGAAAATTAAAACCACCCACTTTTTACTAAATATATTAAAAATGCGTTCTTTTGGAAGACGACAATAAAAGGTTTTGATTTATGTTTTATTACAGTATGAATATGTTCTACATTTGTATAATTGAGCTGCTGCTTACAAAGTAGTCTTGAAAAAATGAACATTTGATGTTATTAGTATTACAAGTGGCTAATGTTACCATTATGTATTTTGGGCCGAGAAGCCGCTGCTGCTGTTAACATTCGTATTATCCTGGCTTATAAGCCAGGATGCTGGGCTTGGGCGTTTCGAACGCCATCACTATGCGAGTAGACTAAGATCAAGAGCAGGAACCGCCAGCCAGTTTGCGATTAGTCCATTAAAGCAGAAAAACTCATAATTGGGCCGAGGCCAATTGGAAATTGGCTAGTTTTGGCTGAAAGTTTAATGGTAATAAGCGTGGTAAGCTTGAAGTTATTGAAACTAAGCATTTATATTTAAGCATTTAATTTACTGCCAGAAGGCCACTCACCTGGCGCCTCTCATTGTGGCTGCTGCTGGTGCGTCACCAGTCCCATGTCCTCCTGCACTTTCAAGGGCAGAGGAAGTGGTCTCTGTGGCCAAGTGCGTCGCTGGAGCAGCATTTCCGCCCTGGCCAACTGGCGCTGCAGTGCCTCGATGGTGGGATAAATGTGCTGCTCCACAAACTCCGTCACCGTGTACTCATCGTACACCTCCCACAGCAGCTGCTGCGCCTCCCGCGCCATGGCCCGCAGCTCCTCGATCAGCATGGGCGTCCTGCCAGTCAGTTCGCGCACCCTTAGCGGTGAGCTGAAGTTGTGGCGCACATTGTAGTCGGAGAGCCAGGCGCTCTGGTCACGAGTCTGCTGCAAATAGAGACCGATCTCGGCCAGCTTGTCGTACAGGCGCAGGGCATATTTGAAAACCAGGTGACCCGGGTAGTTGCAGACAGCAAAGAGCTGGCTGTGATGGGCATTTGGATGTAGTTCCAACCAGGGTCGACCCGATCGCCGACTGTCCGGCTGGAAGACGCACTGCAGCACGCGCAGCAGCTCATTGTCCCGCGGATTAGTGCTGAAGTAGCCCTTGGAGACGGTGGACAGCGACGTCATCAGACTGGGAATGCCTACCGGTAGAAGTTCACAGAGTACTGCGAAATGATCGTAACGCTGCCATCCGGTCAGGGCCAGCCCTCGCAATCCCTTCGAGAAGCGCCCGCCTTCCTTGGCGATCACTGCCAGCCAGCGGATGTTGTTCTCAAGATGATGCTGCAGCGGCGGCACCAGCAAGCTCTCGCCGAAGGCTCCCTTGAAAGCGGACGCCGTCCAGGCGCTGGGAAAGACCTTGGCATAGGTATCCCACAGCTGCGGCTGGATGTAGCGGTATATGTCACTGGCATACACCCACACCATCGGCTCCACGTAGCTGCCCACTTGCGAGTGCTGCAGCTCGCTGAGGGACATCGATCGCAACTGGTCGTCCCAGATTACCACTCCAAGCTGCGGCCACTGGCGGCGGATGAAGTGCGCCATGCTGACCACGTGCGAGAGAAAGAGCTCACTGCGCAGCCTCTGGCGGCAGCTGTTGCACTCGCCCATGCGCTGCACCTCGTCACAGCCAATGTGGATGTGGGTGAATCGGATTGGCGCCACGGGAACTTCGGAGGCGGGCGTCGCCTGACCCAAGCACTGCGAATGCAGTTCGATCACCTGGGTGAGCACCTGCTCCAGCAACGCCATGCTCTGCGGCTGGCTGGGGCAAATCGACTGTGGACTCTCGGCCAGCTCTCGCAGCTGCTCAAACCCAGACAGTTTGAGCACGTATTCCATGTGACCAAACGTTTGGACGAGGGGCATTACACTCAGCCCGTGTAGGGCAGCGCACTCCAGAAAGTCCTGCCGAAAAACATGGCAGGTATATTTAGATGTATGTCTGCCTAAAGATTTCGAGACTCACCCGCAGTTCGTCCTCCTTGTAGGCATTGTGCGCCGCCAGCGGCTGGAGAACGCCGCTGTAGGGAAACATGTCCTCGTACTCTATGAGCAGACCAGTGGCTCCCAGGGCCCGCAGCACGGGAAGCAGTTGCTTGAGGAAGCTGAGCTTGGGCGGAGCACCCTTCAGATCCAGATGGACCAGACGCTCGGCGGGAGCTCTCGGACCATCCGGCCCGATGCCAGCCACCACCGGCACTCCCATCCGCTGGAGCTCGTGCTCGTACTGAGTCTGTCGCTCCGCCGAAGTGAGCATTCGCTCGTCCTCTGCATTGGCGTTAAGTTCCTCCATACCGGCGTTTCTCTGGCGCTGCTGCTGCTCCAGAATCTTGAGGCGTTCCTGCTCGAACAGGAAGCTCTCGGACATGGGCAGCGGGCCCTTCTTGGCCTGCGTGGGCCGCAGGAATCGCACGTTTCCCAGCCGCTGGACTGGCGAAGGCGACTTCTCGACGGCGTTATCCTTGAGTCGCTCGGCTCTCAGCACCCGGTTGGCCTGCTCGATCAGCTTCTGGATGATGTGAACCTGCTGGTAGCCCGTGGACTGCTGGGGCTGCTGGCGCTCAGAACTGGAGAGGCCGGCAGAGGGCTGTGCTGCGGCTGACGTATCGATTAGTATGGCCCATGTCCAGAGGCCGAGAAGCACCAGGCCAGACGCGACGAGTAGGAAGGAAAGTTTCCGGCGCCAAATAAATATCCACAGATTTGAGTGCATCTGCAGTGGGAAAAAATGTGTGTGAGTAAAGGAAGCAATATAGCGATGCCAAACAGGCAGCTATTAGGGAGTTACATTTTATGTGTGTTTCATATGAGAAAATATTATTTAAATTTGTTAATATGTTTTAATAAGTTGGCAAGAATTTTTGATATAAGTATTTTTAAGATAGAATTGTATTGTATGCTTTCACAGAACAGTATTTTCAGCAGTGTAGCTGTGGCAAGTCAGCCACTGCAGTGCTGCAGAGTAAAAACTTGCATCACTTTTTATAAATATTTGAAGATCCAACAAGTAGCCCCCGGAGTTATGCTATATAAATCCGCCCACAACCGACGCCCCCAGCCGCACGTTACTCATACGCCACCGAAACGGGCTGAGCAGCTCATTGAGGTTGAGTTAAGGGCTGCTTCCATTGTTGTTCTTGGGTTTCTTGTGGGTCTTGGCTCCTGCCTTTGTGTTTGCCCAACTCCGGCGGCTGTGCACCATGGTAACGAATTCAAGGGACGCAGCAGTGGACAAAAAACTATTATATATTGTACTTATGATTGCCACTAGTCAGACCAACTTTAAAATACAGAACAAGAGCTTCTTATTTTCGTTCTATTTTCTACTTCGTATGAACTATGAAATTTTATGAAATTTTTAACTTCAATAATGTGTTATATAAAAAGAGAAAACTGTAAAAAGTTTGCCTTAAGCAAGGTGTCCTTAAAATAAAGAAATGACATTATGTTATAAGGCATTTTTGCATTTAAAATGATCTAGCTGGTAATTATTCACTGATGAATTCAATTTTACCAAAAACTATTTCTTTTTACATTATTTTAAGCCAGTAAAATTCACGCACATTGTATTTTAATGTGGTCCCGACCAAAACGCTCAGCTAAAAAGCTGATATTTGCTGTAGTAGACCACAGCAAAAGGAAAAGTGGACTGGCAGCCGATTTTAATGGCTTCTCTGATGGTTTGGTCGCATTCGCTTAAATAGGCACAACTGGCAGCTTATTTAAATGAGCCTCCGCAGAGCCATACAAGCCGCTAGATCAGGCATCGCGCACAGGTGGGGATATCGCACAAATAGTTGGATAAAAGTGCTCCATGGATACGGGGCTGGTAGGATGGAAGCATCCTATGATGGCAGCCAACAAAACCGGCACGGTTCGACAGGCGATAAATGCAAGTGCTCAGGTGGAAATGTGCAGCTGTCTCGCTGGCGGAAATTGAATTGAGTTTTCCCTGGGTTACCACCAGTGGGCTGAAAGAGGGAGCCGTTTAGGCCACTGCTTACTCCGTTCGCAGTTCGTGGCTGCCAGCAAAGACAGACGCGGAATGGTTTCCACTCTTTGTGGACACTTGTTAGTCGGTTGAGTGAAGTGGTTTGGATGAATCAGGGGCGTGACCACCGAAAAGGTGATCTAATGAGAAGTTTGCCATCATTACTAATAGCGCAGACAAATGTTGACATTGCTTTAATAAAGTTTAGATGTTGCGCTTTAACATTAAATAGTCCAGCTTAAATGAAAAAGTATTATTTCATTTGGTGTTGCTTTGCGGAAAATATACTTTGATATTATAATATATAATATTATAGAGATTCGTTGTTAAATAAGTTTTACCTTAAACAGTGACATTCGATTTGGTTCACCTCAAAGCTAATATACTCGAACTCAATCGAAACCAAGTCATTCTGTATTTTATGCACATTTTTAGAACTCCTTCCATATTTTGGCGCCCAACTGCAACGCTACACTCACAGTCCGCATGGAATTAGTGTTTTAAACATCTAATCCGCATCAATTTTGCATTCGGTAAAAGCCAATCGAATTCCGATTGCCGACCATTTGGCTTAATCCACATTTGCAATACCTCGTTCTCGATTTCTCTTGACTTTCCATCGCCAGTTGTTGCCAAATTTGTACAAACGAAAACATTTTTCCTGGGAGGTGTCGAATGGGGAAGGCCTAGGAATCGTGTGGGTTTCTCCTTGGCGTCTCTGTACTTTCCCAACCACAACTACTTTGAATGGATGCTCTCGTTTTTCAGACGCTTTGTTGGCCGATGTTCTTGCCAAGGATGCAAAAATAGAGGAGCCAGCTATGCAAACAGAGGCGCCCCAGAAAGGGGTATGATGTGTGTGTGTGAGTGTGTGTTGTGATATGAGGCAGAAGAGCACGCCTTTTCCTCAATTTCCGCATCTTATGTCCATTGCTACACTCTGCGAAAAATTTCAATAAAATGTATATTACTAAAACGTTCACAAACATTCCTATAGCTTAAATCACAAATTAAGCAAATCATTTTTCTGGAGCTCCATAACCATGCTTGACTGTAGGCGCCTATTTCCAGCTCTTCTAAGGAGATAACTAGGTGCATTCAAAAAGCACCGAACAGTGCATAGTACGTAGCTCTTTCTCGCAGTGCAGACAATTCACTTTCCCTGTTCGCTACCGACAGATCCTGCCAAGAAACGGTTCCGACAGGACAATGGATCGGTGCTAATTGCCTTCGGTTCGTCAGACAGAAATGAAAATAGTTCGGGGCGACTGTTTCCCAAATTAAATGTAATTGCACCGCAAAATCGACAGGCCAATTTGCAGGCAGGCAATTCACGGCGTCCCTGGCCATTTCCTGACTGGCTGTGACCTCCATCTCCACCGCCAGCTCTGATCCACCTCCACGTCCACCCACTCAATGGAGAGCTAGAATGGGTGCTAGAAATAGCAGCCATGTCCTGTGAAGTGTTCGCCCACCGCACAATTTGGCAGTTGGCCAAAAAATAGAGGAAACACGTCTAAAAAATGAAACATGAAAAGCATTTAAAGCGCGCCCTGACGAACCTAAAAAGGCACTCAATTCGCTGTTTATGGGGCCAGCACTCATATTCATATTTATATTCATAGTTTTCGAAGAGTACATTGAATTATACAAGTGGGCAACAACGATTTGTTTTTTTGCTTTCCAAAGATATAGGGGGCTCGCCCGAAACTCCAATTGAAATATGTAGTTTTGGGATCAGCAGTGTTACTTTCATAACTTTGCTGTTTTCTAGAGCGATTTATTATTAGTTGTAGCTAGTAATACGGCTGTACTTGCTGTTAACTACTTAAACTACACAATTTAAGCTTTAAGCCTGCAAATGCACTAAAGTTAAGGCGGAGCTGCTCTGCTGCGACTTCCATTTAGGGGAAGCTTATATTGCATTCCCCGCATTGCGTTTTGAGCAGAAAATTTGCCTGCCACTGCAACACAAGTGGAAGGGAAAGGGAAGGGGGAGGGGGAGGAAGGGTGAGAGCCAGGCCAAAGCTGCCTTAACTTGGCTTTAAGGATACAGTTGCCGGCCAGGCCATAGCTCACTTCTCTGGCCCCTGTAGAGAAATTTACACGGCGGGAAAATACTCTGAACAAGCATAAATAATTTTTGAGTAAATAACTAACAGCGTTTTATGTGCATTTTTTCATGCTTAAAATGTAAGATAAGAGTGTATAAGATATAGAATGTATTTAAGATAAGCAAGTTGTATTTAAGCTCAATTCTACCTTAAATAAATGTGACTTCAAAACCAATTTCCTATTTACAAATTTAAGTAATTTCTTCCATAGAAATTATTATTTATTTCTCTGCGGTTTTCCCGCTCGATATGCAAGTTGAAAAGCAGCTGGTTAGGGATTTTCCTTGGGTCCGAGTTCCGGAAAGTACCTCGATTCTATAGATCCCTTAGTATCCTCGTCCTTCAAACTCGGAATGCTGCAGCTGCTCCTGCTGTCCTCATTCAGATACTTGTCCTTGAAACTCTTCGGTGGAGGACCGAATTCGGTGGATGAATCTTCATCATATCTGCGTTTTAATCGATTCAGAACTTCGCCAGTTTTTGGCTTTTGCAGAGGGATTTGGAAACGAAACTTTATTTTGTACGTCTTTTTTTCGTTCGTCTTTACTGCTTTTCAATTTATTGGCCCATTTCCTTCTCAGGACGACTGTCAGTTTAATGGAAAGCATCCATTGTTTCAACTAAGTTCCCAGAACATGTGATGATTTGTTTCTGCTACTTTAACAAGTGATTCGCGCAATTTCTCTCAGTGCACAGCGTGTTGAAAGGAGGCTGGCGCTGAGTTGAGCACTTGGGCCTGCAAAATATTGTGCTACTTGCTGCAGTACCTCATCGGTCTGAGGGCCATAATCGGCAATTAGGCCATTTAACGCCTTATTAACGTCCATTAGCAGTCGGCCACCAATGGACGATGATTCGTGGTTCAGTCAGCCAAGCGGGTTAATATCCAACTCCCCCCATTTTGACTGCCTTCTCGGACAGATTTAAGATGCCTCAATGGGCAGTCCAACAAGTTTCACCAGCTGCACAGTGCACCGCTCTCCACTGGGAGGAAATAAATCGAAATAGAATGCTGATGGCCAGGATGAACAGGATGTCGATGCAGCCGCTTGAATTAGAAATGCTCGATAGGATTTCGGGGGATTTTCCAGTCGCATGGTATTGGGGAAATCAAGAGAAATTTGTAGGCCACGGCTCCCCGAACGAACATTGTGCAATCAGCAACAAAGTCTCTATTTAGAAACCAGCAGAAATGCAATGCCATAAAACACTTTAATGCCGCCATAAGCCCTGCTATTCTGTTGCCAACAGAATGACACGAAAAAATTGGCAATCAAATGCATGCAAATATATCATCCTACAACGCCACCTCCTCAGTCGAATTCATAATTGGCAAAGCAAACAAACTGTGAATGAAAATGGAGCAAACAAAAAATGGGAAGCGAAACTTGTCGCTGTGATGAAAATACTCTGATGAACTGTGCATTTCCCCAGTTTTTCCTCACTCATTTTCCCAGCGCTCATCAACTCAACCAACAAACTTGCCGTGCCGAAGCGAAACTTTCGCACAGCTTCGAAAATTGTCTGCATTTCAGGGCCAGGTCCAGGTCCAGGTCCAGGACCAGGTCCAGTCTTAATAAAAACGTTGTTACCTACTTCATAAGTAGATTATAACTGCGAAAGTTTGCAGCGAAAAAGGCAGCGCGGGAGGGAATTTTGAGGTGGAATTAGAACAGAGCGTTCGTGCAACACTCAGTTTGTACGCTCAAAAGCGCTAAGCAGCAAAAAGCAAAAGCAGAAGCAGTGGCAAAAAGCAAAACTGTCACAGCAACAGCTGCTGCGCGAGTAAAAACTGAATCCATAAAAAAGTGTCGGTTTTGAAACTCTCGACTGTGCGACACCGTGAAAGTCCTCTAAGTCCTCCACAGAAACTTAACTCATGTGAGACGTACAAAATGAACTTAGCACAATTTCGAAACTCAATATTTTAATGTAGCTATAAATTTGTTTTGATATTTTTCTTATTTCCAAGCTTAGCCGCAGCCCAACACGCCCGACGTCCAATAGGTGTAAGGGAATCACGGCGAGGACACGTAGCTAGTGTCCTGCCTCAAAAGGGAACCCTCAACGACGCCGTGTTTATAATTTGAAATGATTTTGTACTGCATTTTACTGGCAACAAAACGGGTGACGGAGCAAGGATAGCGTACGTGAAAAGGGAAAATTGAATGGGGAATCGTGATTGGGCGTTTTGCTAGCCAGCTGGCTAACCATTTTTGCAGATAGTCCTGCGAGATATACTTGTAGAAAACATGACCACACAACAAGAAAAGCTATAGACGCCGTTGCGGTCAGATATTGTTTATCGGGTTAGATGAGCACGAACAATGTCCTTGCAAACCAGAAATCAATCAGAATTCACGCAGCACATCCTGCATCCTGCATCCTGCATCCCACATCCTGCAAAGCCTCTGGCAGCCAGTCGGGCACATATGCTCCATCGATTTCAATTGCATTACGGGCTTTACGGTGATTCATGAGTTTCTCTGGGTGACAGATAAATCGGAATGCAAGGGGAGAAAAGCCGAGCAAAATTAACTTGTTTCTTGTTTCTTGATTAATTTTTCACTTTCGGCCCACAAAAAGTTATATTTCTGACTGTAATAATGTTTATTTTCGAAATATAAAAGCCAAGATGTTTGCAAGCTTCGCACACGTTGGTTATTCCATAACAAAAATGACATTAATAAAAGGATTACCGAAACTGTGTTTAATGGCCACATTAATGCATATTTAATATATATGCACTTGCAGAAGTCAAAGTTGACTGTATTTAAACTGCAATTTTAATTGCTTTAATGCCCAAACTACGTTCGACCAGAAATGGCTTAAATTTAACGACACAGTTTTCGCCATTTTCGGCTTCACCGCATCAAGTCGTTGCTAATAAAGTTTGTGTTGCTTTTCCGTGGTATGCAATGCGAGCACCACGCTGCGTATGCGTAATATTTATTTAGCGATAAGAATGCAGTGGCCTGGCATGCAAACATTTTGCATCATTAATTCCAAATGTCAGCGGAATGCAAATGCAAGTCTATTTGTTTGCACTCGTTGGGTGGATGTGTTTGTGTTCATTTTGCAGTTTGCAGTTTGCAGTTTGCAATGCTGCATTTGCGCAAGGCTGAAAGCCAACTTCAGAGTCGCCTTTTAATTCCCGTAAAAGCCATTAAATTCTCCTATTCACCAGGCAGTAAAATGCAGACCAGCCTGTGCCACGCCCCCTTTCGGTGGCCGCCCCCAAGTGCATCGCCTGCTGTGTGCTGACTTGTCGGCTGATGACAGCAAATGACGAGCGACGACAACAAAATGTTTACTAATGCAGCCCCAAAGCACCGACAGCAAAGTGTTGGCCCACATTTCGGAATTTCCAGAGGGCGGAGAGTTGGAGGTGGCAGTATGGTGGGGATTGGATGAGCACATGGAGAGGCCCTTCTAACAAGGCAGATGCTGTGACATCGCCGAAGGAATGCACTCCGCTGGGACGCCCAGGAGGCTTCTCCAGCCACTCGAACGAGTGGCACCGAGCCCTGATTGATGTTTATGAATTATTAAGCAACTACACACGGAGAGCAGCTTAGCTCAGCTCAGCTCAGCTCAGATCCATCTGCTTTCAATTCCCGACGAGGACGAGTTGATGGATGCGGAATGGAATGGTTGGGAACTGCAATTTGAGCAGAGATTGTTGCAGCTCCAGATTAGAAAGCTTAAGCCCTGGGAAGAGCATAAGTGTAACTGATTCAATTCCATGACGAGCTCGAGCTGAGAGCCCTTGGATCCACTTAAAATATGAATTCTTTATACCCGTTGCTCGGGTATACTAGATTCCTTGAAAGTGAGGAATCGCTTCCGACCGTAAGAAGTAAATACTATTTCTATAGTGATCCTAGCCGATTCGTTCTGGCCATCTTCTATTGCCTGCCTGTCCGTACGTATCAGCGTCGAGATCTTGGGAACAATAAAATTAGATACCTGATATGTTGTTTTTATTTGTATACCCGTTACTCGTATAGTAAAAGGGTATACTAGATTCGTTGACCACTACTAGATGCGTTTCCGACCATATAAAGTATATATAGTCTTATATAGTCAGTTTGTTTCCAAATGTTGCCACGCTCACTGTATTACTTGTTCCCCAATTTCTACCGATATTCCAGAAAATGTTAAAATTCCTCGTCTCATTAGCTGAGCAACGGGTATCTAATAGTCGAGCAACTGTACCACAGCGTTCTTTCTTTTTTCCACGTCCACTAGCTGAGTAACGAGTATCTAATAGTCGCACTTTGCTCCAATTGAGTAAACACTTCGTGGAAGTTATAACAGAATTGTAATCTAAACTAATCTAACTAAAGTAGCTTAGTTATATTGAAATGCAAATGAAAACTAAACTAATGGAAAAACCACAAAGCAAATAAAATCTTAAATCTTATTGAAAACTATTACAGTATGCTTTCCATAAAACAAGGTTTGCTGAAGAAAAAGAAAAATACATATATATTCTATTTACGTATTTTATCACAAAACAACTTCAAGCCGATTATAACCGCAAACACAGGTCCCTTAAGGACATAACCATCACCTACGGATTAAATAAAATGTTTGCCAGTAGTGTGCCATTTCGATTAAGATGCACATCAATTGAAAATTCCGCAAAGTTCGCATAAAGACCGAGTTTTAAGTTTGCCATGTCGCAAGTGCCTCAGTGCGCCACGCCCCCTCTTTCCACGCCCACACAATGTAAACTTTGCAGAATATTCCGCATGCATGGTACTTTGGGCTTACTTCTAGCCAAAGGGCAACCAGGACATGTCAAACACTTCAGTCCAACTTTTGGCCCTATGTTTAGATGGCTTTGGGCATTAGCTAAGATCAACAGAGTGAGCCAAACTGGTTGGACAGTTTGGAGGCGATTGAATTCGGCCAGACTCGCCTGGATTTAATGAGACAAGTTCTAGATGTACGAGTGTCTCCACAACCGCATCCTGTAATTCATCTTGCAGTGCAGCAGAGCACACAAGCCAACGCTAAGCCAATTAATCAAAGTCAGCCCGTGGTGCAGTGCCGGGCAACACGGCGTATGCGCAACTCCGGTTGAGCTGTCACCCGCACACTTCTGCTGCCACTCAAGCCGCTACCCCTCGCCTCCACCTAAAATGTCTTAAAAATTAATTAAGCCAGGATGGTCGGAGTAGAGGGGGAATGGCATGGAGAGGAAAGGAGATTAGCTGACGGAAGTGGGCCATAGCCAAAGCCAAAGCCAAAGTCAAATGTAACTCCTGCTAAGCCAAAGCGGATGGCACTGGGTTTCCATATTTTCCAACAGCATTTTCCTGCCTTTAGCCACATTTGCATAATTCCCAGCGTCTGCATGCAGCAATTAAAATATTTTCACTAATTTCATTCGGCAAGGCGAGCATTACTATGGAAATTATAACAATTCAAATGTTTTGAGTGCAACGGCAAATACCCAACCACTTTCGCACCCAACTTTGCATAAACACACCACCCTTTTGCGATTTGCATGCCGTAGATATAAATGGGAATGTAAAGTGTGAGCATCAAAAAACGGCAACAAATAAACGTTGGATTTATTTCGACACTACGAAGCTCCAACACGCTGCACTTTGATTTAATTTGCATCAAAACAAACATGGGAAGTGCTTTGGGCGATTTAGTTTTGAATGGTCCACATGGAAATGGAGTCTTAATGGTCAATTAGAGCAGCATTTTCTGTATTGTGCAGTGTTTAATTAGATTGTACTCTTCAAGGAACAATCGTTTTAGAATATATTCAGTTTAATATGTGTATTTATTGTCTCTGAACCACTTAGCTCTTAGATTATTAAGCTTAAGTTATGACTTCATTTAACGTTCTTACACAGCCAGAAAACCATCATGTTTAGGTATGTATCTCATGGAGGAAAAGTAACAATAAGCAATCATAATTTTGCCCCTGACTATTTTCCAGATTACAGTCTCTTCCTATGGCGCATAGCGCTTGGGATTGAGCTCCTTGGCTACCAAACCAAATAACGAAGTTCTAATGCCCACGACAAAGTTGCAACTATGTAAATTGGAGCAGGGCCGCTCCATTGGGGGGCACGAAATGAGCCTAGGAAACTTTTGTCTGCGGTCTGCACGACTCCTGCCAACTGGTGCCAGTTCCGCTGGTGCTGGTGCTCATGCCCATGTCCCTGCTCCACACCCCAATCCCAGAACCAATTTTACACCCATTCCACTTTGCATGCGAGAAGAATGCGGCGCACTTTGCATGCCTTCCAAATGAGATTCCGCTGCGAGCTTAATGCTATTGTTGCATGTTGCATGTTGCACGACGAGGCCCTTATCCATCGTATCCACCGTATCCACCGTATCCACCGTATCCTGCGCATCCTGCAGCACGTCTCGGTTGTTTACACTCGCAATGTTTTCGTTTTGCTTGTCACCGTCACCGTCACCGTCTGCCCAAATACCCGCAGTTGCTGCTGATGCGGCTCCTCCTCCCCCTCCTCCTCCTCGGCCGCCCTGCTGATCCACTCTGCATTTAACTCCTCCCGCAGGACATGTCCTGACTTCAATACGCACTCATGCAAATATAATCGGGGCACACGCACGGCGCTCTCCATGTGGCTCCTTTCTCTTTGCCGAGTCCCCTGCTATCCGCAGGACATGTCCCCATGCGATGTCATCGGCAGAGCTCTAAATAACTTTTAAATGAAGCACAGGATGCATGCATAACCGCCGAACAACTGGCCACAGTGAGCCAACAAATAGTGGGCACACTGGGAATGCTAAATTCAAGTATTTACCGGGACTTGGATGCTCGCCAGGATGTGGAAATATATGAGTTCTTCAGGCCTTTGCCTAATACTTTAGGAACTATTATATCGGTTTTCTATTTGAGTGCTGCATTTGTTAGGGGCTATATTTGATTTAATTGAAATGTTTCAATTAATATTGAATGCACATATAAATTGATAAACGAATCCTGAGCTGAGCTGTTTGAGCTCCATTACCGGAATGCGATATATTTCGGGAAGTCCTTCCTTTTGTGTAATCCTCTTGGTCCGCCACATTCACCCATTCCCTTGTCCGCAGGTTGCGTTTCACGCATGGATGCTCTAAGCTTCTCTGCACCGCCTCTCCCCAATTTCTATTAGATTTCACTCTGGCTTTTTTAGGATCCAATTCAACTACACTCGGACTCGGTGCACCTGGACATACTGGACAGCAGGTCTCGTGGGATGGGTTTCATTGTTTTAAACTATACAGTCTGAAGGGAGATGTATGCGTGTTGGAACTTTTTCTTTCTCCCTTGCCCTGCTCATGCGTTTATGAAAATTGTAAAGATGTACCAGGACTTCCCCTTTTCCATTTTCCATTTACCATTTCCGCCCACCCCTTTGGACTCGCTCGCGGTGGCCAAAGTGTGAATGTGTGAATAAATAAGTTGTGTGCGAGTGTGCCAAAGTTCCCCAGTTTGCGGTGGCTTATGAAATATTTAAAAGTAATTTTGGCGCGTTAATCAAAATTACCTTAATTAACTGTGTCTTAATTAGGCCATATAGAGAATCAAGGGATGTCCCCGATGAGAAATTGAGATTGCGCAGGTATTTGTACACAAACACTTAAGAATAAGGCCAAAAGAAAATAGATCGAATAAGTGTGGCCTACTTTTGAGGGCAAGCATCAGCTTACCTTTAGAAAATATGTATAAAGAAGCCCTGTGAAGCTAATAGCATTGCACAGTAGTGTGTACTTATAAGTGTTATGTATACTCTCTATTAAAGGGTTGCAGAATAAGGTATTCTGGCTCTTTGGGAATATTAAAGTAATCCGAATGCCGGTCACCACGACACAGGGAATTAATATGTTACTGCTGCTTTCGAGGAGCTCGTGAAGGGCGGAGATTGTAATGCAGCCGTTGGCCCGTTGCCGCTTTTCAAGGCAATTGAATTACAAGTGCAGCAACCTGAAAACACTGCCAGCACTTGGGCTGCAAGACGACAAAGGCGGAAGGAGCCGCGAGCAGGCAAGGAGGATGAAGAAAGGCGGAATCGGAAACGGATACGCCTGCCACCGGAGTGCGGGGCTTCATAAATCCTGACTGGCAACGACCACAGCACCCGACAATCCGCATCCCCCATCCTTCCACTTGGCCCGATCCACTGAAATATGCTTGCGTCAGTGCGATGCCAAAATCCGGCTGCAGCTGCTCCACCAAGCGATACAAGCGGCACGAGTGAAGGTCCAACGGAAAGAAGGTACTTATCCCATACACAAATTATTCACTCTCATGCGCTTAATCCGCAAAAAATACTATAGTCGGACTCCTCAAAAGGGATTTTCCAGGCAGTCCCACTTAATTGAATAATAATAAAGAGGATTGAGGAACGAGTGTATACAGCGCTAAAAAAAACTTGTGGCCAGCACTAACGAAATACTATACGATAGATAATCATACTAAATTGCATAACATGTTGCGAAGGAAAAGAAAAAGGGTTTACAAAATATACATTTCCATTTGTAATCCCACTAAGTTATATTCAGCAAATTAAAAACGAAAGTTTCAAAGGTTCTGTTTAAAGGCGTCCTACTGTACGTGACAGACAAAAAAGGACTCGCACCATCATCAGTTTGCTATTCCATTCTCCTGTTCTTCACCTTCCTCTGCTGCAATTGTTCCAGGATATTTGTGTGGGTTTGTGTGCGTTAATCAATGTGCAGAAAGCATTAAATTGTCAAGCAATTAGTTAGGGGAGAACAAAAATACCAAGTTAATGCCATCAATTAAAGCTTGATTCAATTACGCAGAGTTATGAGTCAGTTGGATTATCGCTCAGCACATTAAACGTAAATTAATACAGATTTGTGGTCCCAGCTGGGGAGCAACTTTTCCACTAATGGCGACAGCTGCAGATGCTGCATGCTTGAGTCCTCGGGAGCAATGCAACTCAGTGTTTCCGATTTGAAATGTTTCTAATTGAATGGCCCGACGAACGGGTGTGTATGTGTGCACTTTGGGGGCATGGGGCCAGAATTCGCCAACAGTGCACAAAACTAATGTTTGTATGCGAGAGTCAACAGGAGTTTGGGAGCCCAGGCCACAAAACCCACCGACATCAGCAAAAAATCTGATTTCGATTCCAATTTAGAGTGAACGGTAGAGAAATGCGACCCTTGGGAAATGTCGCCCTCGATTTTGACAGAATTAGAAATGCAAAAGGATTACCGGGCAAAACATTTGCCCAATAAAATCTGTCAAATAAAAGTTCACAAAGTGGGGGAATCGGTAGCTCCAATAGCGACATTATTCATTTGGTAAACGATTGCCCTCTGGAGGGTCTCCCAGAAAATAGAAAGAAAAAGGGGGCAATCTAAATGTTCCATTTGAATGCCCAAACACTTGCCCCAACGCTTTTGAGTGCTCATTGAAAACTGGCAGTCTAAAAGACCATATGCAAAGTAGGCGAAGCTCTTGTGCTATGGAACTTCAATGGTTTGAAGTGCGTTGGGGGCACCATTAAAAAAAATTCGGGCATCACGTGCACGCTGGGTAAGTTAAAAAAGGAAGGAACAATGTTCCGTTTGTTTTTCAGCCATTTTCGAACTTAACTGTTAAAGCCGTTTAATCCTCTTTCCTCCCGAGTGGCCAGTCAATCAACAGTGCATTTGCTCCAACGGCATGGCGTCGAAATCGCGCGAATTGCAGCACTTTGAACAGCAGGAAACCGCAGCGCACGTAGCGCAATCGCGAACAGTTGCAGTTGCACTAAACTTCGCACTGTTTATGCCTCGGAAATATTGCTTCGCTTGGGGGTTTCCATTTGGCGGCAAGCGGAGGTTCTTGCGCACTAAATGCGTTTCGAACAAACACTGTTATTTTCCGAGCCCCAAACATAAACAAAGGGGTGGCTGGTCACACTGCCAGTGTTAACTTAACAGCACTGCAGTTGCGGACCAACAACAACGTAAATGCATATACACCGGCTTTTGTAAGTCGCCGCTCTAAAGTTTAGCTAAAGCCGGCAATCTAAGCAAACAACTTACCCATTGGCAACTGAGGTATTCGTAAACTCTTAATCATTTAGGCGCACTCTTGAATTATTGAAGAAGTATATTTTATCCGCGAACTTCTACGCACTTCCTTGGCGAATTGCCATACGATACCAATGGCTACGCTGCCAGACAACCTTGGACGAGCCTGGCAACGCCAAATGAGCTTTTTTGAGCAAGCTGGCAGCCTTGTCGTAATTAATCGATTTTCTAAAAAACATAATAGAATTTTGCTTTTATAAACACATTCTCCCACTTCTTTAGTATAAATATTAGTAACTAGCCCTTAACACACGTAAATAATTAATAATCATTAATTAAAAGCACTGCAAATGGCGTGCTTTTAGTAAATTTTAGTGCATTTTTCAGCTCCCAACGGCATATTTGAATGCTCGGAAACGGTCACACTCGAACGAGACGAAGACGACGACGACGCAACTTGTAGCAGTAAAAATATTTATACGAATTTGCCGTGTTTAAACAATTTAACCAAACTAAATGTTATTTGAAATTAAAGTGAAAATGTGAACGTTGTGTTTGCTTTCGAAATGACATCAATTTAAAATGCATTTCAACGCAATAGCACTCTGTGAAAATTTCGTACAGGCAAAAAAGAGCCGATTTTTAGTGGAAGAAGAAGCAGCAGTAGCAGCAGCAGCCGAACAGGCAGTAAAAGCAATCGTCGAATACACGGACAAAGCGCACGGCGAATGAAAGGCGTGTGAAGAGAAAACTTGCAAAAATTACAGCAGCAGCAGCAACAACACTGCGGCGGCAGGCAAAAAAGTGTGTTTAGAAAAGAAATTAAAAACACACGAACATATACATACACACATCCATGCAAAACGAATAAACACACACATACAAGAGAATTGGTGCAAAAGCTAATAATAAAAAAAACGAAGTAAAATAGCGCGCGGTTTAATAATAAATAATTATATGTATGCGCGCAAAACATGTGAATAGCCGGGGAGCCGCTAATACAAATACGAATACGAAAAATCAATGATTGTAATAAAATTCCGTATTCTCGCTATCGCTCCTCCCTCTCGCCCTGCCGCTCTCGCACTCGCTCCCGCTCTCTCTGCCTCTCTCTACTCTCTTTCGCGAGCGCAGCAGCAGCAGCCTCTCGAATGGTGTGTTTGTGTTTCTTGTTGATTTTGTGATAAAATTGCAATCAGCAGCACACGACACTCGCCAAAATAATAGTATTCAAAGTATTAGGGCGCTCAAAAAACGACAGATAGCCAAAGCCAACAGTAAACAACAAAGGTGCGTATGCAACAGCAGCAACAATATCAACAAACGGCCATCTGTGAAGCTGTGCGTTCGAGTGTGCGTGCGTGTGGTGTGTGCGAGAGTGTGTGGCAAAAAGTAGAACGTGCGAGAGAAAACCCGCGTACCCAATTTGATGACGTCTTCAACTAGACAACAACAATGCAGCAATATCGGCACTAATGTAGATTTTACTCATATTTTTTGTTATTGTTGTACATGCCGACAGCGACGCCAGCAGAGCTCCGGGCAGCGGCAGAAAAGAGAGGGAGAGATGGACCGGTATTTTTTGTAGTCACTGCAAGTTTAGGTACTCAGCCCTTGGGCTTCGATGATCACAGGTTTGGGCACTCGAATAGTTTCGCCACCTGGTTTCATAATAGATTCCGATAACACCTCCTGTTTTAAATGATAACAGCTGACAGCCCATAGTTTTCACTCTCTGTGTACATTCGCTAGTTTGAGTTAAGTTCGCCGTCGACCGTATTCAAATCGGTCGTACAGTTTTCCCAGCCATTGGATATATAGCCGATAGTGCCTAGTAACTGATGCACCTGTCCGCACAGCCAATTGACCTTATCGCCACGCGCCCTGTCTCTCCGAGTTGTCACTCAGCCAACCACCCACCCAACCCCACTTGCACCCGCTCGCTCCCGCACAGTGTCTCCCATATTTTGGGGCCCCGTTTCATTGCCTCCGGAGACGAGTTCTGATTTGAATGTCTGTTTGACTGACAGGCGGACTATGCTGCCCGCTGGCCTTTAGGCATTTAGGTAGAAACCTACCTGTGTACAATGTGTACTAAGCCGAGAGGCCAAGAGCATCACTGTCTACTCCTCACTCACCTGTGCGGAACGAGGTAGGAGGGAATCCACCAAAGTGGATTGCAAAAGTATTCCACCAAATAGAAATAGAGTTGTTACCTTCAATACATACAATGTATGTAAGGTACTTCAACTCGTGTTAGCCTTATTTTTCGATAGAAACCAGTAAAAACGTGTAAAAAGGAAGAAATTTTAAATGAAGGTGCAAAATCTAAATGGTTATTAGAATAGTACGTCTCTTAGCTTAGCAATTTTATTATTGCAGTAACAAGAATATATTTTTAACTAAAATAAATAAAACTAAAATCGGAGTAATAGCGAAACCTTCTTAATTACCAATTCAATTTAGTTATGGCACACTTCGACTCCAATTGGACGTATTTCCATGTGTCATAATAATTTAAAGAAAATAAATATAACACCATTAAAGTTAGTTAAATTAAAAATAAATGATTCGCCAGTTGTTTAGTCCTGGTTTAATTTAAACATTTTAACCAAATATTCAAGGTGGTACAAAAGTTTTGACGGTTAGTGTGGCACTTGTGCCGTTTTGTCGACAATGCGCGCGCTCCCTCTCTCGCACTCACGCAAGTACGGTCGCACACACTGACACAAATACACGAACAGACCGCACTTCACACAGGCTCACGAAAATTTGCAACACACATACACACGAAATCTCGCTCGCTCTCACTCATGCTCTCTTTTTCTCTCTCCCTCTGCTCTTCTTTTTCTGTTTTTAGTGGTTGTGCAAGAAGAAGCAGCAACAATCAGGCAAAAAAATACCTGAAAAAAATAAACGGTAAAACGAAGAAGTGGCGACACACACACGCACGACGAGAGCGCGCTAAAAAGTTTATTAAGTAAAATCTGAAAAGTAAAGGCACACCACGGTGCGTTCCATTCCCCATTCGCAGAAATATATATTTTATTAAAAATGGTGGAAGTAATAGAGCGGCGGAGAACGGCTGCGTGAGCCAAAGCGCGGCCAATTAAAAAACAACAACAGCACAGAAGTAGCAGCAGCCGCTAAAGAGAAGAAGAAGACGTCGACGACGAAGAAGCTGAAGCTGAAACAACCGAAGAGGAGGAGACAGCAAGAGCCTCGAAAAGTACATAAAAAAAAGTATAAAAATTTAAATACGCTCGAAGTCGGTAGACAAAAAGCGAACTAGCGACGAAAGAGAGGCGAGAAAACCCAAACTCCGAAATCAGACAACCACCTTGCCCAGCGCAACAATAGCAACAACAACATCATCATCATCAGCAGCAGCAACAACCACAACAACAACAAAACGCAGCTACAGCCAACAACCAACATCACACAAACAAAATGTACGGAAAATCAAAGACATCGGCGGTTCCATCGGACGCCCAGGCCCGCGAAAAGTTGGCCCTGTACGTGTACGAGTATCTGCTGCACGTCGGCGCCCAGAAGGCGGCACAGACATTCCTCTCGGAGATCCGATGGGAGAAGAACATAACGCTAGGCGAGCCGCCGGGATTCCTGCACACCTGGTGGTGCGTCTTCTGGGACCTGTACTGTGCGGCGCCAGAGCGCCGGGATCAGTGCGATCACAGCTCGGAGGCCAAGGCCTTCCACGACTACGGCTTTGTAAGCTCCGGCTACGGAGTGAACGGAATTGGACCCGGTGGACCCCACAATGCTGGCGGACCAGCGCCCAGTCCCCTGGGACAAATGCCGCCCGGCGGCGATGGCGGTCCCATGGGTCCCGGCGGACCGATGGGGCCGAACTTCTTCCCCAACTCGACGATGCGGCCGTCGCCACCGACGCATGCCTCCAGTCCACAACCGCCGCCGTCGCAAATGATGCCAGGCCAGCCGCCGTTCATGGGCGGACCCCGATACCCGGGTGGACCGCGGCCAGGCGTGCGTATGCAGGGCATGGGCAATGAATTCAACGGACCTCCCGGCCAGCCCATGATGCCCAACAGCATGGATCCGACACGGCCAGGAGGAGGGATGGGACCGATGAATCCGCGCATGAATCCGCCACGCGGTCCTGGCGGCATGGGACCGATGGGCTACGGCGGACCAGGAGGAATGCGCGGTCCAGCACCGGGACCAGGCGGAATGCCGCCCATGGGCATGGGCGGAGCGGGCGGAAGACCGCCGCAATGGCAGCCGAACGCTTCGGCGCCACTGAATGCGTACTCGTCATCATCGCCAGGAAACTATGGACCCGGATCGAATGGACCGCCGGGACCGGGAACGCCCATAATGCCGTCACCGCAGGATAACACGCAAGGCGGTCCAGTGGGCGGACCCGGCGACAGCATGTATGCCCTGATGAAACCCGAGTTCCCGATGGGCGGAGGGCCGGATGGCGGCGGTGGAGGAGGAGGTCCCGGCGGCATGGGACCGATGGGCGGCGGGCCAAATTCAATGGGCCCCGTACTTAATGGCGGCGGCGGACCCGACGGGTCCGGTTTGGATGGCATGAAAAACTCGCCAGCCAACGGAGGACCTGGAACGCCGCGCGAAGACTCTGGCAGCGGTATGGGTGATTACAATCTGGGCGGATTCGGCGGACCCGGCGAGAACGATCAAACGGAATCGGCGGCCATTCTGAAGATCAAGGAGAGCATGCACGAGGAGGCCAAGCGGTTCGAGAAAGACACAGATCATCCGGACTACTTCATGCCATAACAACATCACCAGCAACAGCAGCAGCAGCATCAGCAGCATCTCAATACGGTGGCAGCAGCTGTGGCAGCTGTGGTG